AAAGGAAATAAGAAAAAACAAAAGTAACTGTATATTAAAGGAAAAAAAAAGCCACGAGAAAAGAACTGTGACGATAGCCCTAAGCACCATGCACTCTTGTAGAGTTCGCTGTTTTATAGATCATCTATATCCCAATAAACCATTGTCATGAATGCTAAACGCGGAATAAGTTAGAAATTAAGCGTTTCATTCGGGAACGTACACGGTCTATTTCATTGTTAGGCGGCGGGCTTTTCAATTTTAGAGTGGGCTAATGTTTCAGTCTTTTTTCTATCCATCATTTATCCTTGTCATGAATGTTTCTTAATGAATGTATTAAACTAGTGTGACATGCGTTCATGTTTAAAATAGATCACACTGTTATAATTGAGAAATGATTGCACTGAATTGCGGTCATGTTTAAAATCAATCAAACTTTTATAATTGAGAAATGATTGCACCGTTCATTAGTTATAGGATGTCGTCTGCTTTCGCAGGATTGGTCCATGATATGACGTCATTAAAACATTTCTAAACTTTCTGGCGAAGAGCTTGTATATCCCTAATCCTGAGAGGTGCTTTTATTTGGGTTAAATGTTGTATTGTCCGATATACAGTTGACTTAATTGTTATACAAATATCATCTTGAAGATTCCTGATTTCTAGTGATAAATTATTGGCCGTACTTATAACTTTCGAATAATGTGTACTTCCTTTGATACATTGAAGATTGAAGATACGTCCTGATAGTCCGTTTGTGCCGAAGAGATCTTCACCACACAGACTTCCGACCGTACAAACATTTACATTTGCCGGCAATGGCTTAAGTTAAGGGGCCCGTTTACATTATGCCGCGGTAAACGGTATACCGGCGAGGTATATCGTGGCTAATTTGTGTGTGTTTGTGAGTGTGTATGTGTGCGTTGTGGGAGCGCGTGTGTGTACGAAACGAGTGGCAATTGTGGATGAGAAACGTACCAGCTCGCAACTATTCAACGCGTACTCACTTAATGAAAGGGCCTCAGATTTTGAACAATTCTTAAACTGAGGACGTTCTCGCTTCGATGGTACTCACCCACCCACGCACCAACGTATCTGTGTGTTACGCGATACAAAGTGTAAAATGCTGTACACTTAAAACACTGCAGTAGTTCACCGTACATATGTGATGAAGCCTTAATGGGTCGATTTGGAGTCAGTTCCGTAAAGTGTGAATAGGGTATATCATATCGGACTGTTGCCCTTGCTTTTAATCTATATACAATTAACCTTGTAATTGAATCTACAAGATATAAACTTGGTATTTGACCAGATCTTTTGTTTAACCGTCACACACAACGTCAACCACAATTGATACGTATATAGGGCGTGACTGTAGGACGTTATTACAAAGCAGAGGGTTGTGGCTTTGACACCCTATTTAATTTAATTTTAATCTTTTGAATAGGCATTTCGAGAATCACGTGGAAATCACGTGGAAATCACGTGTGACACAATTATGATGCGAGACCTTGTACTTAGTAACTTTGTAAATATTTATCGTAGCCTCTCCAATGATAATTATCGTACTTCATACTGATAATAGGTTACATATTGACATATTGACATGTTTATGCAATTATCAACATAATTTTAAAAAGGTCTTGAACGGGGTGAACATTGATCATTCAGATTTTGTGTTGGTTTTAAAGGCCGTCAGCACTAGTTTGGCCAGAAGGGATTAGAACACACAACAAGGTCACTGACATGTGGCTATCTCATCAACTCAGCTCTCAATGAACATTAAAAAAGAGGTTCATGGGGGACCAACAGGCACCAATTGGGGAAGTTTTCTGTATAGAGGGAGCAAGTAGCTACAAGTAGTACAGTGGGTCTTTAAACAATTTATACAAGTTTGATAACTTTTCGAATAAGATGGTGTGCCCCACTCCTCCCCCGTCCCAGCTCACCCGGTGTACACACCCCCACCTCTCATATCAGATGGCCCTGTGATGCCTCCGTCTTTATCTATATAAAACTGGTCCAATAGCTTCTGCAATCAGTTGGCATTGCACATTTATGAATCATGGATCTCGACACATCTTTCATCACGGATGTTTCGCTCGTGGGCGGTGCCCTCAAAGCAACATTTGGTGTCCTTCTCCTGTATTTCATCTACTGTTACTTCAATGACAATGGCAGTCAATACCATCACCCACCCGGGCCAAAGGGTTTACCGTTTCTAGGGAGTGTTCTCAGTATGATTTTCACCAGAAAGCACCCTCATGAGGTGAGTCTCAAAGGTATAAACCAGTTTTGGAAACGCCCCCTCTCAAAAATGAAATGGAAGCTCTTATTACCAATCCAGTGAAAGAATATGTTTTGACTAATACATGATGATACAAATTTTGCCGGGAAACCGACTACTAATTGATATATTTGGTAAATTATTATATCTATCCGGACTGGATAGATATCCCGTAGTCCCATAAACTTCGTTCTGTGTACAGTGCTTGTATCTTTACCAAGACTGGGCCAAATTTCTTATCATTTTGATGATATCAGAACCTTGCAGTACACACCAATACTTATATGCTAGATGATCAACTTTTCCGATCGATTCCACAACGTTTCTTTCACAATGCAATCGCATGACCAGAGCTGGTCTATACCTTTAACAGGAATGGTTCAAGGGTTTACGCAAAGATGGGGCAGAATAGTCCCAAATTAGTTGACACCCCCACAAAAGGAAAGCCATCCCATATTCATAAAACATTACTAAGCCTAGTTGGCAACTCAAATAGACATGGCATATAATCACTTTACTTTAACTAGCAAGCGAAGCGAACGAACAGAATATTTTTCTGTTTTTAGTCAGTTATGTTTTTTTTAATGTCTTACACAATTATTATCAGGGGGGTGTTTAAAAAAGATCCTAAGTAGAACTTAAGTCTAAGTTAGACTTACAAATTATGGAGAGCCATTTGTAGCCTTAAAATGAAATATTTTCCAAAGCAGACATTCAAGAATTTTAGACTTTTCATAAATTTCACATTGAAAACATCAAATCTCTTTAATAATAGAAAATATGAACAATTTGAATCAACATTTGATGCCTTTTATATTAACTTTTACAAAGTATTTTTAAAGATGCTAACGGCTTTCTAAAGTTGTTAAGTCCAACTTAGAGATAAGTTGAACTTAGGATCTTTGTGAAACACCCCCCCCCCCTGCACAATTTGTCAAGGTCTTGGATGATTGGACGAACAAATATGGCGACGTTATGTGCATCAAACTCATGAACCGTCGACTCTACGTGATCAGCGATGTCCGGCTCGGACAGGACGTGATGGGCAGCATGCATGCCATGGACAGGGAGCCGACTTTGCTCATACAGACTCTGACGGGAAGAAAAAATGCTGGTGAGTGACTGCATGGTCCGAAATAACAAACGAAATTAAATATACCCCAGCTGAAATAAATATATTTATTTACATTTTGGTAATTAATCGTATGAGCTAACCGTGGACCATTCTCAGCCGTAGTCCACGTTTCCGTATTCGTCCTTGCCCTTGTCCTTGCTCGTGTTATTGTCCTTGCCCTTGCCCCCATCCTTACCCTTGTATTGACTTTTTGTCGTCCCGTTTCAAGTCCATTTTCTACTTATCGGCCTTTGAACGAATCAACTACTTAATTTATACATTTCTGGGGTCATCTGTAAAGTGCAGAATTGCAAAATCAACTGCCGGGGTAATAGTAATAATGTAAGCACTTTGCTGTCAACGTTTATATAACCTTTATAGGTTATAAGAAACAGACATTGTTATTCATTATACATGTCTAGTTATCAAATTGTTATTATTCATTATCTGTAAAAAATAATATTATTGCTCCTATTAATTAATTATCATTATTGTTATCATTATTATCAATATCATCATCATTATCATTGTTATCAATATTGTTAATATTAATTTAATATAATTATTATCATCTTCATCATTATTAGAGTGTCAAAGGTGAGATATGATATGGTATTTCCTATCCTCCATACTATTCCAGGAGTTGCCTTTGCCAATGGAGAGGTGTGGAAAGAGCAACGCCGCTTGCTTATGTCTGTCTTAAAGAAGGCTGATGTTGATGGTATCAGGTAACATAAGTTTTATATATTCAATACCTGATTGCCATTTGCTGTTATTATCATCCTCCATATATCTAATCATGATATATTCTTAAATTTTCATCCTCTGTTTCTGTGTATCAACCCTTCTCTCTATCAGCCCTTCTCTCTATCTTTTCTTTTCACTTTATGTTTAAAAAGGCAGGGTGTTTTACTGACAATATTTTTAGATTTAAGTATACTGCCATCTGCTGCTCACAATGTCCCGATGGGTCGACAGCCATTTCCCACAATGCATCACCAACTGATGACGCGCGTTTGATAATGCTCGGGCAGCGTCTTATTTATTTCGTACCACGGCGAGCCCAGATGGAGCTCGAAAGGTAAACCTGCGCATACGCACTCGCAGAGGAAACCAGCGCATGCGCACGTGGAATCCGATAGGGTTGTTAACAGGGTGATAGTAATTATACAAATCAATCTGTCATCAACTCATCGTCAGCTCAATCGATAAGGACAGCGTGTTACTAATAAAACTTTGGAGTTGACGTGAGGGTTCAAATATCAGTTTTTTTTTGCCTTTATAAATAGTGAGGCAGAGCAATAAATAATCAAAGTCGAATTGTTTGTGACCTCTTTGCAAGCTTTCGTAGCTTGTTATGTATGAAAATGAGTTCATACTGGAATCTGGGCTCGCCGTGGTACGAAAAAATAAGACGCGCTCGGGCACAGGAACCGGAAATAGGTCTATTTACACCTATTTCCAAAATTGCTAGCGTTTTCTGTAAAATACGCTGCCTTCCCCGTCTTCTAAAAGTGAAAGGACAATAACGCCATGCACTGTCAATGGCTGTATTATTCCTTAGTGTTGGGATGATTATTTAGGGAATCATGTTCCCTCATTATCAAAATTGTCATCGATTTGGACGAGTTTGATCTAAGAGTCTGAACATAAATATTCTGCGTATATTTTCTCAATGAATACTCTGATATTTTCTCAACAGCTACGATGATATCATCGTGTCTCAGGCAGAGCGTATGTTGGCAGAATTCGAAAAGACCAACGGCCAGAGCTTCGATCCGAGGGACCTCATACATAAGACTATTGGAAACGTGGTCATGAAGATCCTTACAGGGGTGACATACGACTACGATGATTTGGAATTCTCCCGAGTCATGACGAACACGGTTCGTGTCTTTACCCTGCTCGGTGAAGCGGGAATCCTGGCCTCGATCCCAGCTCTCGCTGCCATCCCGTCTCCTACAAAATGGAAGATCATCAAGGCATGGGAAGAGATCTATGGCTTCCTCAAGGAAATCATTGAAAGACGCAAAGCCAGGTTTGACACGAATCAAAAGGCGACTGACTTCATGGGAAGCTTTGTGAAGGCAATGTGTGCAAAAGGAACAGAGGTATGTCACTTTTCGGACCGCCTTGAATTTTCTTTGGCAACAGAAATAACTTAGAAAGACAATCTGAAAGTGGTCTTTTCACAATTTAGTTGCAAATTGTAAGGTACTGTTAAATAGGTAGTCCTATATTCCTTACATTTACGTAATCTATTTGGTAGAAGATGAATAAAACAAAAACTTAAATGAGGATCCATTCACTCATTTATGGCCAAACTGTTAAAGGTTACATAGGGATGACAGTTATCATAATGGATACATTTGGTACACGGAGTCAACAAACAGCAAAAGCTTATCGAAATGGTATGACATTGTTTGCGCTGGAGCTCGGTCTTTAAAAAAGCTCTACTTAAGAACTTGAATAAATATGTCACTTTATATAATACAGATTGGTCCAGCTTCCTGCGACGAAATCAACCTAATGGTGTCCTCCTTCGACCTGCTTCTTGCAGGATGGGACACGATCTCCACCACCCTTGCCTGGGGCTTGCACACATTGGCTTCCTACCCTGAGGCTCAACGTCGAGTTCATCAAGAAATCAAAGACGTCATCGGCCTTGATCGCCTTCCGCAGTTCTCCGACCACCACAGCATGCCCGTGACGATGGCGACCATCGCTGAGTGCATGCGTTTCCGACCCACCTTAGCGGTGCACATCCCTCACGTGGCTACACAGGATTGCAAGATTGGAGGGTATGACATTCCCAAAGGCGGACAGATCACTCTCAACATGTGGTACCTCGCCCAGAGCCCCAACATCTGGAAAGAGCCGCAAGAGTTCAAACCTGACAGATTCTTGAACGAAGACGGGGAGTTTGATCGGAAAATCGACCCACTATCGTTCGGAACAGGTATCGATAGGGACTTTTAAATTTGCACGACGAGAACGTGGACTGTCACGTGTGACATCCTTTTAAGGCAATGTGACGTCCTTTTAAGGCACTGCCGGGCACTGCCAGTCCCAAAAAGGACGTCACATTGCCCTAAAAGGAAGTCAAACGTGGCAGTCCACGTTCTCGTCGTGCAAATCTAAAAGTCCCTATTGTGCGGGACAGTATGGTTGGCTTGTAATAATGGCGTCCCAATTGGCATTTTCCCGTTTATTTGAAATACATGGCATGTATGTCAAAATAAATTGTAATAGTCATGCTAATAGCTCGCGTAGTATACATTTTTTGCGGGCCAAAATGTCAATATCTAATACACATCTTCATGTATAACTGAGTTGTAGTATTTGATAACGTTGCTAGCTCCAAGTCCTTTAATTATTCCACCTACTCTTTAACCTCGATCTATCGGGAACGTAAATACCCTATGTATCTGCAAGGACGATCCCATGATTCGTAAGGTCACACAGTCCTTCTCCTCCTCGAGTTTAAAGATAAACTTGAGTTCTGGTAAAAAAAAAAAAAAAAAAAAAAAAAATTCTCACAGAATCAAACTAAACTGACACTGAATGTTCAAGATTACAAATAAATGTCATGTGCCGAACAATTTTGGAAGAAAATGTATACTGGCTGAGTTATGAGCATAACAAGGTAAGGAAATCAAGGTAAGCTAGCCCCGACACCATTTGTTTAGTACCATATACATCTTTCTGTGTACAGTGCTTGTTACTTTACCAAGACTGGGCTAAATTTATTATGATTTTGATGACTCCAGAACAGGGGCGGCCGAGCGACTTCCAAAGGGGGGGGGGGGGGGGGGGGCACCAACAAAAAAGGGCACTTTCTGGAAAAAAAATGGGCACCTACAGTGGGAAATCTCGAAGCGAAAATATACAATTTGTTAGACATTGGTATATACCCCTACATTGTGATTACATTATCAGGGATGATTTCAATATTTGTTTCTCTTCATACATATAATATTCCCTTAAGCATCATACTTTACAGTTGGGTGTGATGTCTGAATATGCATTTACGAGCGAGCGAAGCGAGCGAGAAAATTTTAAAGATCTGTGAGGTCGCAGTGCGAAAAATTACATCTTATAAAGAGGAAAAAGCCAATCGTGATGGGGTTATAAGCACATTCTCATAACGGAAGACTGAAAAGACCTTTGATAAGTAACATAATTATATCATCTTTAAATGCGAGCGAGTGCAGCGAGCGAACTTTGGGGGAAATTGCTCTTAGTCGCTTTAAATCGGAGAGGTGTCGTGGTCGAGTGGATAAGTCACCGGACTGTGGATCACAAGGTCCGCGGTTCAAGTCCCGCCGCGGCACTAATGTCCTTTGGCAAGACATTGATCTACATTTGCCACTCTCCACCCAGGTGTTAAAATGGGTACCCGGTAGGATGCGAAAGCTAATGTGGTTTGATTAGCAAGTGGCGCTTGTAAAATGGCGACTGGCTGGAATGCTCCCCAGGGAGTGGAGAATGTGCATACCTTGTGTGCGGGTAAGCCTGAATCCGATGACCGGGGTAATAATAATATGTTGTAAAGCGCTGTGATACACATGTATGTCTGTAAGAGCGCTATATAAATGCCAATATTATTATTATTATTTAAATAAGGGGCACGTTTAATGATTACAAGAAAAGGGGACAATTATCGAAAGGGATAAGACACTTATTAGAAGAAAAAAAAGGAAAGGAGCACGTGTCAAAGTACAAAGGATAATTATAAGAGGTGAAAATGAGGCATTTTTTTCACCTGAAAAGAGGCACTCACCAGTGATGAAAAAGAGTCGTTTACGAAAATGGAAAATGGAAAATAGGCATTTGTTGACGGAAAAGGGGCACCCATCAGATTTTGATAGGGGCATTTATAAGAGGTGAAAAGGGGATAGGTCCCTTATTTGAAAGTAAAAGGGGCACGTATCATTATTAAAAGGGGAATTATCAGAGTTGAAAAGGGGCACTGACCAGATATGAAAAGGGGCACTTATAATAAAGGAAAATGTGCATTTGTTGAATGAAAAGGAGGCACCGTTCAGATTTTTAAAAGAGGCAGTTGTGAGAAGGGGAAGGAGCTCTTTCTTTTAAATGGGAGCACTTATCATAAGGAAAAGGGGCACTTATTAGAAATAAGAGGGGCACATGTTAAAATGAAAGGTGTGCTCATCCGAGTTTTAAAAAGGGGTAGTTTTTAAAAGGATAAGTGGCACTTCTAACAAAGGAAAAAAGGAGAAGTTGTCAAAGTAAAAGGAGCACCTCTCAGTTTTGAATAGGGCAATTATCAGAGGTGAAGGGGGCACTTATTAAAAGTGAAAAGGGGCACTTCTCGTACCTGAAAGAAGGCACTTACTAGAGATTAAAAACTTATTCAAGATAATTTCAAGATTTATAAGAATGGAAAATGGACATTTATTGCAAAGGAAAATGGGAACATGTCGAAGGAAAAGGGGCGCGTGTCAAAATAAAAAGGGCACTCGTCAGAGGTGAAAAGGGGAAAGGGGCACTTTTACTAAGTAATAGGGGCACTTTTCAAAGTAAAGGGGACACCTTTCCTATGTAAAAGGGGCACTTCTTACAAAATAAAAGGGGCACTTTTCCTATGTAAAAAGGGACACTTTTGGGGTATCTGAAAAAGTGGGAGGGGGGGGCACTGTGCCCCCTGCCCCCCTGGAGGGCCGCCTCTGCTCCAGAACCTTGCAGTGCACACCAATACTTACATGCTACATGATCAACTTTTTCTGTTCCATTCCACACCTTTTCTTTCACAATGCAATCGCATTACCAGAACTCACCTTTATCTTTAAAATGTTCCTCTTCCCATCTTGCAGGTCGACGGGTTTGTCCTGGAGAGCCACTGGCAAGAACTGAGATATTCCTCTGCCTCACGTACCTTCTCCAGCGTTTTACCTTCAGTTTGTCCGAGGGCACCCTGAAGAATCTACCAACCCATTTCAGTCTTACCAATCAACCGAAAGCTTACCAGATTCACGCTGTCAAGATCGCGTAAGGCTGCCAGCAAAGTCCAGAGGTACCCGGAAAAGGCTTTTTATTGGCATCCTGTTACCGTCCTAGCCAGGGGCGGTATCCTGACATTCATTTCATCTTAGATAAAATCTGAGATTTGAGCTCAGTGACATAATGTACCCTTCAAACTTTTTTTTGAATCTCTAATCTGAGAACTACTTTATCTTGATTTTATCTCACTGAGACATTTGTGATGCGACATCCAGTAAGAAATGCTGTTTTATTTTTCTCTCTTCATATTTAGCCATTTGACAGGTTTTACCGTATGATGGATACGTCACTGAGAGAGGATGTCACTGTCCTAGGAGTAGGTAACATTGCTTATCAAACCTTCCGCACTTATATCGCACGTTATGCCCATGCTGTAAAGGTTTACAGAATAATTAAGTAGATATTACACATGTACAATGTACAAAGTACAATGTGTTGTACATACAATCGCATAGAGTATGATAACACAAAGTACAGCGTGAACACATAAAACGGAAACATTGTTTAAGCCCCGATTGCTGACATGTATAATAATGGTATGATAGGTGAGAACATTTTCATTGATTTGATAGGCTGCTAAACAAAATGCGATCACGAATGAACACTGGCCATTTCTAGAGAAAAAAAAGCATGTTAAATTGCCTAAGCCCACGTTTGAGATGAACTGTATATTATAAAGTTGCTTTCTTCATCTATAAATGCATTTGGAATGGGGAGTCTTCATCCGGGCCTCGGTTTGACTTTTTTCTTCATCATTTGGCAACACAGTCATTATACTAAAACATACACTGAGGGCTTGATATTTATGGAATTTCTGTGTAAACCAGTTATCAAATCCAACGGCATTTTATGTACATGTAATTTTGATATTCATAATTGACTATTTGCAGTGCTAAAACTTTTCTTCTTTTTCATTAATTTCTGTTAGAGCATGTTCATTCAACCGTCAACGTAGAAATATCATAAAGACCTATTTACCAACTTTAAATATGCAGTGTAAAACTGGATCTGCATGAAGACAATTGTCTAAAAATGCTCTTTGATATTAAAAAAGAGGAACTGCTATTGTGCTTAATTTAATGTTTTTACTAAATCTTCTTTCTTATGGTTGCATAAAACTTAGGAATTTTTTGAGGCATGCCCGCATACATGATACAGGAATTGCTTCATCTTACCTAAAGTAGTATGTAATGCAACAAGCATCATACTGTATATTGTGTTGGTAATGTTTAGGGATTACGTCCTTCATCATGGATGTATTGTTACAATTTTCAGTCGGTGTTGTCAACAAATTTATAAACGTTGAAATGTAAGAACCCTTTTCAGCTTTCATTAAACAAAAATCTTACGAAACTGTTTAACATTACAGGGCTAAGTCACTCTTGTCATCAAATTTTGAAATGACATAAGTTTGTGAATCTTTCACTTGACGTTAGAGGTGTCTTGGTCGAGTGGATCTGTCACCGGAATCTGGATCACATGGCGGTTCGAGTTCCGCCGCTACAAACACAATGGCCCGAATTCACAAAGGATTTTTGTCGACAAACCTTGGTTTTCGTACGTCATATGACGTGTTTTTACGCAAATTTTACAAACCTGGTTTGTTAAGAACAAAAGGAGGTTTGGTAAAAACATAAGGAGGTTTGTCGACAAACCTCATTTGTGAATTCGGGCCCATACGGACAAACAAACAAACTTACACAATACGATCTAAGAAATGAGAAAAAAATCTTGTCAGAATCCCAAATTCGAAAGAGATAAGAATCCCTTCACTTGATAATCAATTTTCCAAAACTTACCTCACCTGTTTCTGAGAATGGCATGACAATGACTGCCATATCTCATGACAAGTTTATGTAATCCTGCTATTAAATAAAACATAAACATGTACAAATGTAAGCTAGGGAATGGCTAGATACACTAGGCTAAATAAAAGCAATCTTTCATTTTGCTATTTTTTCCAATCCGTCTTCACCTGTCTTTTCAAACACAATCACACCCACACAAACATATATATATATATATATATATATATATATATACAAACATCAGTATTCCCACGCATCATTACATATTTTTGTTCACTTACATTTGCCCTCTTGAACCGTACTCTGACAACACAGCAATTATAATGTTAGGCATCGATACAGTAACAAGCCTTTCAACAGCGAATATGCAATCTAAAAGCATTTAATTCATTCACATCATTAGAGATATTTTATTTATATGAGAACTATCCATCATTCTTAAATGTGATATTCCTCAACAAACATAAGCGAGGATGACTTGTATTTCATGACGAGGAAAGTTATGGCCTGCATATTATCGTATCCTTGTTTGCTTTCTGTTTTAAATATCCATTCGCTCCGAATATCCATGTATCCTGAAAAGCAAATCTGTTAGCGGTCACTCTCTCTCAAATATTGAATTTTCTGGAAGTGATGTGTTCCTAAGTTCATACAAACTGTAAATTGATCACGTAAATGTGTCGATGTTTTTAATACATTTTAGCAGATTCTGGAAATGGGTTTGACCAAAGGGCCGATGCGATGAATATTTCATATATTTTGTTAATAATTCATTTTAGAGCTTTCATTTGAGAAAACAAGGTGTTGACGATCCAAAATTATTGTGATAGATATAATCATTCCAGTTATAATTGTAAAAAGCATTATGATAAGCATTGTCAAACAAGTACCTCTGCTGATTGATAATAATAATTTTGAAACGCGTTTTTCTTGGATAGATTAGTTTAGCAAAGAATTGTCATATTTCCAATTTCATATTCCTTTTCTATTCTTAATCTTTAAATAAAAAGAAATGCATGTAGCCTTTATCCGTCGTCATCCTTATTATTTTGTTTCGTTCAATATTCCTATTTTTGTCTGGTATACGAATTTACGAATGAAAGTGAATCGATATATGTTTTGTTCACGCTTATATCAACACGAAATTGAATAAGATTAAATGTAATCAATTCAACCGAATCATATCAGCGTCTGTGAAATATAAAGGGAGAGAGACACTATGTAAAAGAGAGATACGAAGATGTAGAGAAAAAATTCGTGAGAGAGGGCCAAAAAGACAGAGAGATATATTTAAATATAATGATAGATGAGAGAGATAGAGATAGAGATTGATAGAGAGAGAGAGAGAGAGAGAGAGTGTGTGTGTGTATGTGTGTGTGTGTGTGCGTGTTTGTGTGGGTGCGCGCGTGTGTGTTCGTGTTCGTGTGCGGGAGATGTGCAGGTTGGTACATCTTTTCGGCACATTTTTGTTGTCGAGGCAAATTGGTTTTCAACACCGGTAATCATGCGCTAGTTGCTGAACAATCAACTTGATTGCCAATTTTAGCTCTTGATGAATTTTAGCTCAATATGATGAACAGTGTGCAATGTACCATCAATCATTCTCAAAGCGACTTTCTATTTTAGGGTCCTGGTTTTAGCCCCCAACTCGTTCAATTAGATGATAGGATTTTTATGAACATAATGATAGTATTTTGAATCTAAATGAAATTTGCATTATATCAAGGACATGCTACGAAGGTTTCCAGGTAACATTTTACATACGTATTGATAACCAAAGAAAAAATCAATTATTACTATACCACTTTGTTTTCACAAACGAATATTTTTATATGACCTCAAAGAACCGATTCTCTGAATCGATCTGCATGACTGCTGCACAGAAGGTGTCGTTTCGGTTGCATTATCACCTGCGCTTATCGTGCCAATGAATCTATACTTAAAGATGAAGTTGAGTTCTGGTCATGCGATTGCATTGTGAAAGACATGGTGTGGAATCGACCAGAAAAGGTTAATCATCTAGCATATAAGAATGTGTGTGTATTGCAAGTTTCTGGAATCATCAAAATGATAAGAAATTTGGCCAAGTCTTGGTAGAATTTGTAGAATTTTATTGACTCTTTGACCCCCTCTCGGGGTATGAGAGTACAAACAAACATGAAAGTATAAATAACAATGCATGACTTATGAATACAATTCACATACATTATACATAGATAATGACACAAAGATAAAAACGATAATAGGTATAGTAGTGTATGAAAGTACAAACATGAACAATGAACCAGCTAGTAAACACAAATTATATATACATGTATATGTACATGTACATTGAATGTAGATAGTGACAAACTGACAATAATAAAAGGATAAGTATAATGCAGTCTATTAACAAGCTAAATAGTAAACAAAGTAGGCTGTTTCACTATCCTACCGCTACGAGTACGTGTAAGTTCAGCTCTAATTGTACTTCTTGAAATGCTTGAACTATCTTCTTTCTCTGTTTTTTGATTAAATTTCAACATAATAAGGCGGGTAAATCTCGCTAAATTCTTCAACTGAGAAGTGCTTCTAGTATTAAAAAGTTCTGTCATGTGCATAGCACTTGGGAGCTTAGACTTACAACACTTTTTTAATAAATATAAACATCTCTCTTTTTGAAAAAACTGACAAACAAAAATATAGTGAAATTCATCTCCTATATCAGTGGACAGTGGTAAAGTTACAAACACTGTACACAGAAAGATTTATATGGGACTACACGAACACGTGACGTAAAAATCCTACCCTGAAGTTTTACGATGTTACATGACATATATTTAGAATATGAAGGCATTTGAAGAGCCATGCTTTTCAGGGAACATGTCTGATCTGATGTTCTTCCACACTTGCATAATAAGAATGATAACGCTCACAAATTATTTTTCTCCTCTTCCCGGAACTCAACCTTCTCTTTAATCGTGGAGGTGTCGTGGTATAGTGATCCACTCACTTCACTCTCAATCCAAGAGTTGAGGGTTCGAATCCCAGTCCGGCACTATGTTAAACGTCATATGGAAAGACATTAATTAACAGTTCACACTCTCTACCCAAGTGTTGGACGGGTCCTCGGTTCGACGGCTCGCATCATCAGTTCGATCAAGCACATTCTGGCTCTGCGTGTCGCATCGTACTGGAAATGAAAACACAGTGATCAGTTAACACATTGCGTTGAATTAGCGCGGGTAATAATGCAATAGTTGACACTTGTCTGTTTTAAAAAAAAAATAGTTTGTCGCTCGCCTATTTGCAGAGAGAGTAATGCTGCTGTTTATTTAGGGAGATGAATCGAGAAGATTGAAACATTTGTTAGATTATACACGTCCGTCTATTCCGGCTTTGTCTGTTTTTGTATAGTTTGTCGCT